AGCCACAAAGATGATTAGGGGACTGGAGGCTAAAACATATAAAGAACGGTTGCTGGAATTGGGTACAGTATGTCTAGTTTAATGAAGGACGAGGGGTCATATGATAGCAGTGTTCCAATATCTCAGGGGTTGCCACAAAAAAGAGAGAGTCAAGCTATTTTCCAAAGCACCTGAAGGCAAGACAAGAAGCAATGGATGGAAAATAACCAAAGAGAGAAGCAACCTAGAACTAAGGAGAAACTTCCTGACAGTTAGAACAATTAATCAGTGGAACAACCTGCCTCCAGAAGCTGTGAATGCTCCAACAATGGAACTTTTAAGAAGAAACTGGACACCCATTTGTCTGAAATGGTATAGAGTTTCCTGCCTGAGCAGGGGGTGGAACTAGAAGACCTCCAAGGTCCCTTCCAACTCTATTATTATTATTATTGTTATTATTATTATTATTATTATTATTATTATTATTATTATTATTATTAATAATAATAATAATAATAATAATAATAATAATAATAATAATTGGGTTCCATACCATCCTCCCCAACACCCTCATTATGGCTCAGTCACTTACCTTTTCCATAGATCTCCTTTGGGAAGCAGCCAATTTGCCATGTGGTCTCCCTACATTGAGACTATGTGGCACTGTCCCAGAAGTGGAACCATTTTGGGACTGGCTGCAATGAATTCTGGCTGCTTTGAAATGGCACCTGCTTCTGGAACAGCGCTATGTTGCCTTTGTACTATATAATCAATCTGGAATTCACAAACTCCCTAAACAAGAACTGGGGTTATTAGGTGAGGCAATCATATCTGTGCCTTGCTTGACTATCACATTTTGCATGCTCCATTACAGTTGTTAGTTGAGGACTATCTGCATAACAAGGACTTTCAGGTTTACAACAAGCTGCTTTATGCCTAATCATTCCTTTAATTTGCCTACATTAGAGTTGTCTACATCAGCCTCTTCCATCCAGCATTCTTCAGAAGCACTGGGAACGCTGACTCTCACAATATTCAGCTACCATCTTCTGGCTATTCCAGCTGTGTATTCTAAAAATCACAGATTCAATACTTCCAGAGGAAAATGACTGGGGAAGACTGGTTTTCATTAACCTTCCTTAATTCCTGTCTCTAGATACATCACAACACAATTCTTATGGTTAAAGAACATCTTTCAAAACTGGCATGAAGTTCACTGAAATGCCAAGAAAAGGAGCTTCTCAGTTAATTGCTCTCAGAGGGTTACTAAGTATGCAGTGAGATTTAATACAACAAGACATACTGTATAACAAAGTGATATAATAGCTACATATGCTAACTGATTCCCCTACAAAATTAATACAGTCCCTTAGGTAGCAAAAAATGCTAATGCTACAGTTGTGGTTCTACAGGTACCCTGTGCTACCTTCTGTTACTTTTGCCAAACTACAATTCCTGCAATCCCAGCCAACATGGCCAATGATACAAGGTGCAGAGAATTTTATTCAGACATATTTGAGGGATCACAGATTTCCCATCATTGCTGAATTTCTTATTTTCAAGAAGAGAAAAAAAAACCTGCAGCTAAGTGACAAAAGTCTCTGTTTTAAATGCAGCAGGTTCTAGGAACTTTTCTCAATGTATGACAATGTCTACTATATTTCTTGCCATTCTGCATATAACTCCTGGGGTTTTTAAAATGGACACCTGAACTCAATGCCTGTCGGATAAAAAGGGCTGTGCTAATATTACTCCGGGACAGCTGGACTAATTTCAGTAATAACACAACATCTAAATAAGATTAAATTGCATATCCTTTCAATTTACACTGTGAGATGACATCCTGTAGCATCTCAGAGAAAGCCAGTTAGGTAATGTGAATTTAATAGATTTTAATTATTTGTATAGCAAAGAACTTTAGTAAGATTGTGCACTGTACAAAGAAAAGCAAATCAAGTTTTTGAACCCCAATAAACCCCAATCTTTTATTTTTTAATTGAAATATTTGGCAATATTTTCCACAACAGGGAAGTAAACATTTATCTTCATTATTTTTATATTTGTTTTTACAATGCTCTGAAGAATGCAAGGAGCCAATGAACTATTGCTCTTTGTCAAATTATGGAAAAGCCACAGGATCCAGAATCTTCAATTTATCATTTTAATCTTTTAAACTTTTGTTTATGACAAAATTATATTAGTGTATATTTTTAATCTGAACCATGTATCCTCATTCGGATTGCTGTATTGTCACAACCCATTGATTTACAAACTACCCAACTGTATTTTACATGGGTGCATTGTACAAACCTCTCTTAGGATTTCAGTCTATACACACAACTTTGCTCAGTGGAAATTATTTCTAACTAAACATGCACAGGACTGCATTGCATATGGCGATTCTATTTTTTAAAAAAAATCTTGGTTATTATAGGCAGATGCAACTATTGCTTCTCAGTCAGAACCACACATCCAAATAAAATGCATATTTCCTACAACCAATAATGAAATATTGCCTTGAACTTCTGTTTTGGTACATTTTTCATAAAAACATTTCTCTCAATATCTGGCAATATTTCCAATCAGGATAAAATAAAGCAAGCTTTTATCCACCCTAGGAATGTAAGGCCTGACATTACCTATGGCTTGTTTAAAATGTTGAAATGAATAATTACTTCTTGAGTCCTTGTACGTTGATTAAGAATGAAATCTGATGCCTCTTTACTGAGGAAAAAGCCCTGCAGAATTCTAGGACTCACTTCTAAAAATGACCAATAATATATACAAAACTTCAGGTTTTGCAACTCATGTTCTCCATTTTTCAGATTTCATATAACTTTTGGGTCACTTTCAATCTCAGGAAGATCCCTTACCCCCAAACAAATGAACAAGGTAACAGAAATATTAGGATTAGATCATTCATCTTAATATGAGTAAAATTAGACTATACAGTATATATTTCCTGGTTTCTTTGTGATACAGTACATAGAGGTTTTGCAGCAGATACTTAATGATTTCTCAGTAGATGGCAAGTCAATTTGTAAAAGGTTATTTGAAGGGCAAAGCATCTAAAGCCCCTTGGCTTATACGTATCCGTTTTATGATTCTAGACACAAATGTGAAAGAAATCATCCTTGAATGGGAATGTTGGGAATGTTGCCAGCAATCCTGCAAAAACAATGTATTCTGGGAATGTATACTCTCTAAGCCTTTTATGTCTTACTAGATTTATTACATTTCTTTCTTGTATTTTTTTTCCACAACACTTAAAAGATTCATATTGCACACATGGATTTGCTTCCTTGTATTTTCCCTGCATCAAACAACCCTTTGGGTAGTTGGACACAGAGGGAATCCAAATTCACCTTGTAGACTTCTATGGCTGAATTAGAATCTTGGGCTCTGTAAACCACCCTCATAATTATCTTGCCTTGGTTGCTCCCAGAAATTATCTGTAGCTAAGAAGAACTTTAAAAAAGGCTTTGAAATTTTATCATCTAGAACAGGGGTAGTCAACCTTGGCTCTTTTAGGACTCGTGGACTTCAACTCCCAGAATTCCTGAGCCAGCAGGATTCTGGGAGTTGAAGTCCACGAGTCCTAAAAGAGCCAAGGTTGACTACCCCTGATTCTAGAATTATTTCAGGAATCCCCCCCCACAAATATCCAACGCAAGTAGGTAATAGAGAGAAAAAAACTACCTTGGATTTCAAGGGAGCTACTCTATATGAATAGTTGTATAAATTTAAAGGTAAATAAGCAATGTGGTAAAAGGAAGAGGAAAGGTTCCACATGGATATTTTGCAATGCTTAACAATGTAGATGTAGATGACTAGAAGCTACTTGGTTTTGCCATATGGAAAATTTGTTATGTAATGCATATAATTGGACACTGTGATATTTGACCAGAGCTTATGACTGAATAATTAAGATCAATGTTGCTGTTCCTATGTGTAAAGTAAAAAGTATGAAAGCATGATACAATTGTGTGAAAGTAAAGATAGGAACCCTCTGTCTGGATCAACACAGATAGGCAGTGTAGTGAAAAAGGGCACCAATGTGCCCTTGGATATCTTACATCAGCATTGTTAGCTATTCACATCCACTTTAGCAATATTTCAGACAACATTTCCCATGTAATAGCTAACTTGTAAGAGACCCAGAATATGCTTTCAAATATGAATACCAGACCCAAATTTGACTGCCTCTGGCTTAACTAATCAGAGATTGCAGCAGTCTGAATAATTTTCTCAATGTGATGTCTTCCAGATCTCTTCAATTTTACAACTACAGCACCATCTTGGGAATGCCTAGTCTGCAAGGTCCCATGGACCGACTATCCCATCAGTCAATTCCCTACTTAACCCCTGACAGTTTGTAAACTCTTCAAATGATTAGGTACTATTAAATAACATGATTTACCACAAAGCAGGTTACACATGGTCACAAAAGTACAGAGGATGAAGCAGGACATAAAGTTATTGAGATAATGAATCCAAGCCAAGATGGAGATTATGAAGGTTAAAGTATTAAAATTACATGGCTGATCTACTGAGAACTAGTAGTTATTGACTGCTTATCTGGAAATTCTTCAGACAAGCTGCCTGTTGAAGTCTAATTTAGTTCCTCTTCTATCCACAGCATAAACTTTTGGGAACAAAGAGATAAAGGCTTATTGTCTAAGAAAAGCCAAACTTGCACTTCAGTTTATATGTACTTAAACACCAGAAGAAACAAACATCTCCCATAGCTCTATACAAATTATTATTCTGTCTTTATCAAGAACATCTCTATTTTTTAACTTTGGAAACATTGATCAAGAAATATTTGTATTACCTGTAATTACCTAAACCAAAAGATAATGGCCATCTAACTGATGATTTTAAAGAAATAATTCAACAATTATATTCTCCATAACAAAATAATTTTACTTCACGAATCACTAAAGGATATGTATATGTATGTAGGTATATACACATACACATCCCTCCTACTTTTTTCTTGTGGACAAAAACAGCCTTACCTTTCTGAATAAGTTTGGTTCTTTGCAATAGCTTGTCATCTGTTTAAAAAGATACAATTTTAAAGCATTAATCAAGAATGTTCCTATTTAAAGTGCAACACAGCGTTGAATACTGTTTGAAAAACTGTCTTCATTCGGACAACTTAGAAGAGCAGGCAATTTCTATCTAATGAGTTTTATAGTACGTACCATTTAAATTCTAAATGGTTTCGTTTCTTAACAATTTAAATCAGATATCAGCTTAAGGCAGAAAAAACCTAGCTATTACTGACCCCTACTGATATGATGTTACTTTGCAGGAGGGTAGATGGATAAAAAATATAGACCCATAAAACATTAAATACATTAACTTTTCTTGGTATTATCTCATTAGGCACATTTTTTCCATTTTTAAAATACGTTTAATTTAAACATGTGGGTATTGAGAAGAACAAAATACTCTGCACCTAATAAAATAAGTTCTACTTTCTAAATATCAGAAAGCAAAGATTAGAACCAGACTAGCCAAAGGCAAAACTGGCTGAGAAATCCAAGTTTAGAATTCCAAAAAGCTGAATGGTGCTGAGTCTGAGAACACTAAATAAAAGTCCCATAGAATATATACTCGGCATCTCTTTTTCCTCTCTTTCCAAATGACATGTATAAAATAACAAGACATAGTAACATGCCAGAATTTCTCTAGTTTTACAAGGAAAAGTCAATGAAATAAATTTAGTATACTAACATAGAAATGTTACACAAATCATATTCAATCATGGAAAGAAGGCTGTAGTTCCTCCAGGTGTTGCAAATTAATATCTTTCACAACTGCCCATGCCGGCTGGGACCACTGAATGCTACAGTATTAACAACTATTGGAGGGACATGTATTTTCCACCCTTCCACTGGAAAGTATAGATACTACTGTCTTTAATGGCAGCTATCTAATGTGTATTCATAACATTAAACAATCAAAATAAGAGTAAATTTTTTTGGGGGAGAAACATGGTAGATTTTTTTCATAAAGAAGCTATTTGCTGTTTCACTATTTTAAAGCTGCTAAGGATTTTCCATAATCACTATGAGATGAACTGTTTTGTATTTTCTGTAATATTTGATCCTAGACAATTTTTGGCTGGACTGACCAGATTTATATTAAACATAGTTGTTCTGTTGGGCAGGAGGCAGGGTATAGAATAATTTTAAAATAAAATGTAAGAATGTACAGAATAATCTGAAGAAATTCATAATCACACTGCTTCTAACTGTCCCCAGATGATAAGACCTACCAATGTGTTATTGGAGTCCTTCAGTTTGGACTTGTAGAGCATCCATTGGTAACGCAACTCCTCTAGTTCATCCCAGTTCTGGCCAGCTGGTTGAAGATGAAGAAGTTCTTCAAAATGATATTGACCTTCAGGGATTCTAAGCTGAAGCTCCTAGAGGGAAAAGAGGTATCAACTTGAAAAACTTGATAGAGGGAATGAATAGAGCTCTGCCAACTTTGAAAATGATATATGTACTTATGGATAGTGTCAGACGTGCCACAAACTTAAACCTCTAATTAGAAAATAATTCTTGGCTCTATTTGCTGAGAAAGGTATATTTTTATTAGAGATCAAGTTTATTGCAGTAATGCATAGCCAGAACTGAGATTTATGTGCCAAAATAGCTATGTTATACTTTCCCCTCCTTAAGTTTCATTTCCTACACCAAGGGTACCAATTAAATTCTTGCAAGCTGTTTTCTTAATAGTTCAGTTGTGCTCTAGTATGCCACTCCCTCCTTCTTCCAGCTGGGTGACCTTGAAGCAGCTTCTCCACGGTACAGCACCTACTTTCAATTTCCCAAGCATGCCCCCCTTTGTCCCCCTTCTCCATAGTTCATGGCAGACCCTCACTGCATATCAGTGAAGTGTAAGCAAGCATAAAGTGGCAGCTGACAGATAGCTTCCAGTAGGGATTTCAGAAGTATTTTCAAACAGAAAAAAATTGTAACAGGATTATCAATTTCACAAATATGTTAAAGCATAAACATATAATACAATGTCATTCCCTGGCTTGGTACTTCATGATTAGTATTTATCAGACTTTCAATTACCTTAAAATATAGACTTTGAGGTACTCTTGGATCTGTATTGATCAGGGGATGAGATCTATGAATGAGTCATGTCCACTTTATGTTGTTCACAAGCTATGCCATTTTGGGGAAGGAAAATTCGGATCACAGATGCATTGGTCTATTTGGATTATAATTATGTGTTTGCCTATAGCCACAATTTGTTTTTCTCCCCAACAATGCATTTTATTGCCATCAATTCACCCATCAATAGATACATATAAACAAAATTTACAACTATTCAAAGGATCCAATAAAAATCTAAGAATGAAAAAAAGACCAGAATACATTAGCACTAGCAGCCAACACCCAAATAAACAAGGATTAATCCCAGACAAACAATCAAGCAGAAAATAATTCTAATCAAGCAACTACCAAGGAGAAAATCACACTCCCACCAACGCAAGCAGAACAAGGGGATATAAACAAAGAGCAAACCCAACACTCACTCACACTGATGATGATAACCATTTGATAATGAAACATCTGCAAGCAAACAGCCGAGCTCAGACAGCAACAAAGACTCCAACAAATAGACCTTTTCACACAATTCTTGGAATCACCTTATTGTCTCCAATTTGTTTCTAGGAAATTTGAAAGTATTGTTTTGATCTTTAAAGTCTTAAATCAGAGATGGGGAACTTGTTTTTCTGATTGTCACTAAACTGTACTATAGTAACTCTACTTATATGACTGGAACTTAAAGCTCAGGACCAATTGGCTTCAAGATCTCCTCTCCTCCCCCCCCCCCAACCTACACTGAGGTTTGGAAGTTTCACTAATCAGAGTTTCTAAGGAGGCTACTGAAATTTGCTTGCAGAAGAGCCTAAGTTCAGTTTTGGCATCTTTAAGAAGAGACAGAAAAAGCTCCTGTACAGAACTCTGAAAATATACTTGTAACTAGTCCAGTAGTCAAAACTGAATTCATAAACACATTTAACAACATGGTACCAAAATGCAAGGTTAATCTGGAATGCTGGAGTTGAACAAACCTTTAGCTTGCTATATCTTGCCTTGACCTCTTCACTGTTCGATGGATTCAAGGCAAGAATTTTGGATAGCTTGTTGTTTTCTCTTTGCAACCATTGTTCAAAGTTCTTAATAAGTTGGAGTTCATTGGTATCTTCCCCCTTAGCCATTTTCCTCTGAATTATAGAAAACAAAGAAAAAGACATAATGTAAATGCAAACAAGAAAATAAAACATCTCTTTCATATACACATAAAGTTTCTGAAAGTAAATGGTTTTGTTAGAGTGCACAAGAGAAAGGAATTATTTCACACTGATTGTTAGATTGAATTAGGGGAGAAATGACAGATTTTTCTGAAAGATTTAAAGTACCATCCTAGGATATATACAAACTTGCATTGCTAAATAACTCTTATTAAATAATTTGCTATAGTTACTTTTGAGACTGCAAAATGTAAACCAGGGGTAAGGAACCTGTGGCATGCAAGATGTAATAATAATAGTGAAGCACTACATTGAAGAGTTTGTGGGGCTACTTTGATTTGGTTGTGGGACTTTTGTGCTGTGAGGAAGATGAGAGTTATGTCAGAGGTTCAACTTATATTGGACAGGTCTCATCACAACGAGCTGGATAAAGACTGTCTCTCCCATAAACAATCTGGTGAGATGTAATTTACAGAAGCCCATACTGGATAGCTTGTCACCTGGGTCAACAAGGACCATGCTGGCTGTTAAGAGTTCCTGCATGTCTGATGACAAATGGGTTATAGGACTCAGGATTGTTGACTGAGCAACCAGGACCAGCAGCCGCAGAACTACTGGAAGAAAAGCTGTTTATCCATTGCAAATACGCAAAGATTGAAAACAAAGAACTAACAATGTGTTATTACAAATAAAGTCCAATGAGAAGAGGCTATCTGGAAAAAAAACCCCTACCAGTTTTGTAATGATAAGACAGATTATACTTTGATAAATAAATCCCAAAGTATCGCCTTCTCAGGATATTTTGACAAAGAACTCATCCACTCCTGTTACTATTCAGGAAGTTGGCAAAATGTATTTCATATGACCTTTGGAAATACTACCAATCAGTGGTGGGATTCATCCGGTTCGCACCACTTTGGCAGAACCGGTAGCTAATTTTTTGTTGCCCAGGCCCAGAATGGACTTCCGGAAGCAGCATCCACACAGAGAACCGGTTGTTCACATATTTGAATCCCACCACTGCTACCAACTAAAAAAACTGCTGCAGTTTTGAAGTTTTTCTGTGGTGGTTAGAAATAATTATATTAGTAGTACAAAATATTTATTTTTTAGGCCCTGTGCTTTTATTACTGAATGTGTGGTAGAAATGTGGATAAAGGAAAGAAATTGTTCTATTCAAACAAGGCATTAACCAGTTCAACTAGGATACACTAACTAACACCTTAAATAGCTCTCATTACCAATATGGGAAGGTCATTCCAATTAAAGCTTTATATAATAAAGATGCAGGTAGTCCTCCACATACGACCACAATTGAGCCCAAAATTTCTGTTGCTAAGCGAGACATTTGTCAAGTGAATTTTGCCCCATTTTAAGACCTTTCTTGCTGCAGTTGTTAAATGAATCACTGCAGTTGTTAAATTAGTAAAATGGTTGTTAAGTGAATCTGGTTTCCCCATTGACTTTGCTTGTCAGAAGTCGCAATAGGGGATCACATGACCCCGGGACATTGCAACCGTCATAAATATGAACCAGTTGCCAAGCATCTGCCAGGGGACCATGGCGATGCTGCAATGGTGTAAAAAACAGTCATAAATCACTTTTTCCAGTGCCATTGTAACTTTGAACGGTCATTAAATGAACTGTTGTAAGTTAAGGACTACCTGTATTTCATTAATTAGCCTATCAGGTTTTCTCACCCGTAAGTGCTCAGAAGCAGCCACCTTTTCCATTCGCCTGCTGTCTATACAAGTTATCTTCTTACTCAGATCAACTGCTGTCCTATTTTGAATGAAAGAGACTAAAATTAGCAACAGAGCAATCAAAGAGGGGAGGATTCCTAATGTAGTATGGACAACATTTGTAAATATACTGACTCTGTGCTTTGCTTCACGTATATCACTAAGCCAGGATTTTTAACTATGGTTTACTGAACAATTCAGAGTGGTCTCACAAAACAGTAAGCTATAAAGGGAGGGATCATTTAAGACATGGCTATCCAACCTTTTGACTTGTCTGAGCCACACTGAATGAAGAGGAATTGTCTTGTGCCACATATAAAATATATAATTTAGTTCATAGATTTAAAATAACAAACTCCCTTTATTTTTAATTTTTTTATGATAACTTATGGGGCCGCATTACAAGTTGTCTAGGAACACATGTGGCCCACGGGCTGCGGGTTGAACACACCTGATTTAGGATAAGCCAAAAAAGAAACAAACCATTAACAAAAGATTATGATCAGATTGTATTTCAACAACATGAGAACACAAATCAAAAGATTTCACAACTTAAGTGTATAGCATAATATGCTTATATGTATCTGCCTTTCAGATAAGTCACTCATGCTCTGATCAGCTCATGGTCTCATTACTACAATACATTCCACACAGGACTGCCCTCAAAGATCACCTGATGTTTCAGCTGATCCAGAAAGCAGCAGCATAGGCAATGATGGACATGCTTTGGTAGGTTCATGTAACACTGTGCTCTGTGACTTGCATTGTTTTTGGTTTACTTGAAGACATTGGTTATTACTTAAGCCGAGGCACGGAATGGAAATAATCATGCTAAGAGATGAGCCCTATTGGGATCTGAATAGGGATAATGCATGTGCTTTGAGCCTGTCAAATATTTCTGCAGCTTTCAGTACCATCAATTGTGGTATCTTTCTGGAGCATCTTCAAGGGTTGGGGACTGGGGACACTTTTTTACAGTGATTCTGGGTGGCTGTTCCCTTGTGGGGAACCAAAGGGATCGGTCCTTTCCACACTATTGTTCAGTATCTCCAAGAAATCACTGGGTGAGGTTATCTATCCGTTCAAGTGATGACACTCATCTTTACCCAGTCTGTACTGTCCTGCGGTCTGGAGGTTCTGAAGTTCTGGATGGGACAGAACAAGCTTAAACTGAATCCTAGCAAGACAGAGTTTGTTCATCAGGATGCTCAGATGGCTCCAGTGGTGACTCTTGATGGGAAAGTACTAATTCTGAAGGAGCAGGCCCATGACTTAGGCAACCTTCTCAGTAACATTAGATCAGCAGTGGGTGCTTTCTTTAGCTTCATCTGGAATGCTGGTTGTGACCATACCAAGTATGAGGAAATCTGGCTGCAGTGACTCCTGTCCTCATCCCCAGTTAAGACTATTGCAATAGCTCTAAATACCATTATTTAGTTACTATTTGGAAGTTTCAGTTAATCACAATTGCAATGGCCTGTGCATTATCTGATATTTATTGGGCAAAGCATATTATACCCATGGTATGGGCCTGCACTGACTCCCTATAGATGTCCAGGTGCAATTTAATATACTGGTGTTCTAATTTATAAAGTTGTTTATGGCTTGGAACCAAGTTATTTTCAGGATGGTATTACCCACTAAAACTGGCCTAGCGTATTGGTTCTTATTGGGAAAAGCAACTGATGATGCCCCATGTTGGGAGGTGTGGGGGAACGAGCCACAAAGGAGCTCCTTTTTGGTAGCAATGCCAGTCCTCTGGAATGGGCTCCCTCGGCATATTAGATTAGACCTGACCTTAGCTGCCTTCCCCAAGCAGTTGAAAACAAAGCTCTTTGGGGAATATTTGGGGCTTGATCCTCTTCATTTCTACTGGTTTGGAGGTTTTGAACTTTTTGATTTTTGTTTGATGTGTTTTCTGTTCATGGATTTTAGTAATTCTGATATTTCAATGTTTGTACTCTTAACACTGCTCAAGAGTCTAGTGGGAGTGCAGCAGGATAGAAATGTAATAAATAAATAATAAACAACCTTCTAAATTGTAGCCTGTATTTAGTACAGCCACAATCTGGAAAACAGCTGCACGTACCTTTTAAATATTAAACAAGAAGAAAATGACATTATAGTCATTGCTATTCTTGATGGATATCCCCCATCCCCCTACTTTTGCTTTTTCTTTTCACCAACCAGCTACCTTTCAGCACAAAAAAGCCCTGAAACAAAAGTGCAAAAACCTCTTACCTTGACATTAGGTTTTCAAGAAACTTGAATGAGTCCTTCAACTTCTTTACTTCAGCCTGGATAGTCACAGCTCCCTCTGGAGAAGTGTCTTTTATAACCAAATGCCCATGGGCTTCAATGAGATGTAACTGGATCTCTCTACCTGGAAATTCAGTTTGCAATCTCTAAAAGGCACAAGATACAAACACATCAATGTACACATTGCAGTTCACAATTGAACTGAGCTTGGTGGCTTTCAAATGCAGGTGTTTCTTTACCAAACTAGGTAATGATCAGTGCACTGATGATGTTACTTAGCTTGGTAATGATACATCTGCAAGAAAACCACCAAGCTCAGAGAGCACCATGAAATCCATATCAATGTACATGATACATGAGAATGAATACTTAAGATCATTATTATATTTGCATATTTAGCTCTGAGTCAATTTAAATTTTGTTAACATTTATAATGTTTGTTTCATTAATATAAATGAAAGGCAAAGTGCATATCTGGAGTAGGATTTTTGTCATTTACTATGAAAAGCTGTCAAATATTATTAATGGAATCTTATGTATCGACAACATTATTATAAATGAATATCTAAAATCTCTAAGAATAACAGAAGTACTCTTCTTAATCAGACCAATGTCTCCTTTAAACTAGCAATGGGGAATGAACAACTTTAAGTCCACAAGTGGCTTTTGGCCTAAGTTCCAAAAATCTTGGAAGTATCACTTCATGCTTCTAATAAGAGTAATTTGTTTGTACCTTGGCAGCCTGCTAGAATATACAATTTTGACAGATCATCATATCCCTCATAGATAAACAGTTTAACATTTTGTTTCCCTTGGTGATATCAGATGTGCTGTCAAGAAGTCAACCAGCAAGAAATGAAAGGTAATGTACTTCAAACAATATGGCTTCTTAGCAATGATATTCAGGAACGTATTGTTTCTAAATCTGGAGATTCCATTTTTATACTGTTGTGTGAACTACATATTAATTCAAGTTCCATAATACAGACACATATCAATTTCTCTTGTTTTTAGTGTTCATATGGCCCTTAAAAACAGTGTAGTTCAAAATAAATAGTACTTTCTAAAAATAATATATGGCACCTTGCAAATATTTTGCTGATTCCTAAACTGTAGGTGAAATGTAAACCTCAGTTGAATCCTCATATTTCTACCCATTGGAAAGCTAGTCTAATAACCTCACAAGAGAAGAAAGGTTCTTTACCTCCAAGTCCAAAATTGCATTGTGAGTTGTAGCATCACAGTAATATTCCAGTTTCTGTTTGGTCACGGTAAGCCACTGTTGGAGATCTGATAATTTGTCATTAAAAGCCCAGTGTTTCTGAATATGTTGCTTATTTTGTGCAATCATGATCTGCAAAGAACCACAGGAAGACCCGTCATCATTTATAAGGGAACTCATTGGATTTCTTTCTTTGGATCAAAAAATATGTAGAACCTTTTCTTGCAGTTTCCAAAATACACCTTATGTGTCCCTAAAATGAACATACCAAGATGAAGACAGGATCTTACCAGTGGCTTACAGCATCTTCCAGAATCATTCAGCCAGAGTTGTGTTGATATTAATGAGGACTGTTTTTTTTTATCATCTCAACAACTCTAGAGGATGCTATAAGTCAGGGGTGTCAAAATCGCAACGTCACGTGACGTGTTGCGATGTATCGCAATTTTTTTTTCCATTGCTGGCAATGGGGTGGGCGTGATTTTGGCATGATGCATCTGGCCCATGACGCAGTTTGACACCCCTGCTATAAGTTATCAAAAGCAAAATACAGGTAGTCCTTGTTTACTCATCACTCATTCAGCGATCGTTCAAAGTTGTGATGGCACTGAAGAAAAAGACTTGTGGTATGTTTGGTGGCTGACGCTGTGGCTATTGCAGCATCCCTGTCATGTGATTATTATTTTGGGCACTTGGCAATCAGGGCGCATTTACAATGGTTACAGGGTCCAGGGTCACGTGGTTGTTATTTATTACCATCACAGCCAGCTTCTGATTAGCAGTGTTAATGAGGAAGCCAGCTGGAAGGTGCAAGTTGTGGTTATGTGACATCACATTTAACAACTGTGGGTGATTTGCTAATGATCACAGCTGGAACTACTGTCATAAGTCAAGCACTGATATGTAATTTTTCACTTTACCAACCACATCACTTAGCAAGAGTGCTAGTTCCATTTGAGGGCAGTAAGTGAGGGCAATCTCTAATTGAAGGCTGCAGTGTTTCCTTAGGAGCAAATTCTGTTGAACCTAATGCAACTTCCACCAAAGTAGGCATGCATGAAACCATACTGCACATTTTATGACTTCCAGATTCATACTCTATCTTCATTTTATTAATTGTTTTCTTACCAAGAAAAAGAATTTCTTAAAAATAAAAAAAAAACCTGAAGTAGTTTGTTAAAGTGAATGACTATTTAACACAATTTTACCTTCACTAGCAAAAACATCTAGAGTTGCAGATCTGAATATGGCCACATAGTGGTGCTCCACAAGTAAAAATGCCTTATGCATCCCTTTCTAATGAAGTATTAGGCAGCCAAGGAAATACTGTACTTCTAATAATATTATTATTTAATTTTTATTGTTTCTACATTCATTGTTTTAATTACTCAGAACCAAATAACTCCAGTTGTCATTCTTTGCTTTACACTTTTATCAAAAGGCAACTTGCCTTGGTAAAAGCAGCTTGATTTACTCATCATTTGAAATTCTTAGATCACATAGCATCAGCTTCCATCACTAAACTTCCATCACTTAATAACTTTCTGGAAATGGGCTGATATTGATAAAATTACATACTCCAAGCATTGCTCTATCATTCAAAAGAGCAATCATTTCACATAGCAAATGTTACATAACATGTAATAAACATAAATGTACAACATAGGTTCCTATTTCTTCCCAATATTGCATTGTTCCCTTCTGAATTATAATGGAAAAATGCCAATACAAGATGCATCACTAGTATTATTAATCCAGCTGCCCAGATTCACTATATTGTGTGATGGGTGGCATACAATTTAATACACTAAATCAATTAATCAATCAAATCAATATTATTTCCCCCATTTTACACCAACAATCTGATCTCTTGGATAATGGGGTCCTGGACTAGGCCTCACGATTCATCTCTATTTGGAACATGTCTGAAAAATCACTAAAATAAGACCTAGAGGCAACATCTCCATAAAGGTAACATCTCCATGATGATTGGTGGGAAGGCAAGGGCCTGTAGAGATGGACCATTTTACTTACTTGTGTTTACCAAAGAACAGAACTGTTATTATTATCATGAATTTTGGGATGTTACCCCACATTTTCTTCTGCTTGTTTGGAATCCCAAGAGGAGTAGAAACCCTGTCATAAGGGGTCCATTATGAGCCATAAGAAAAGATGCAGGTTGTATGGACTGATGAACATGTGTTTCTGCTTGGCTCTCATCTAAGAAGCATGAGAAGTACTTGCTGCACCAGTGCAACAACTGCTGCATTGGATGGAAAGCGAAACATCTTCAAGGAAAAACAAAGAAAGTCCAGTTGCTTTTTGAAAAAGCACCTTTGAGACAACCATGACCTGGATGACTGAGAATGAGACACGCACCAGGGCAAAATCATGCAGTTTAAGAAAAAATTAGGAAAAAACTCCTCCAAGTTAAGTTCAGTTCCTGGTGGCTTCTTGGGCCCATGTATGTAGTCATCTTAGCAACAGTAAGTGATTTCTCACTGTCTTTCTTGGTATCTCTGGGGTTCCCTTAATGTCTCCCATTTAAGTACTATTAACAAGGCCTGACTCTGCTTAGCTTCTGAGCCCAGAAAAGATTAGCTGAGTGCTGCCATCTTTTGAGACTCCTTCGCCAAAATGAGTTACCTCCAATGATCTCTTAAGTATTTGATAGTCAGAAAAACACTGTTTTATTTTATGCATCTGTGCTGGGTCTGACTGAACAAGTTTCTCTATTTCTTCCATTTGGACTGCACATTCATCCAGGTGTCCTTGGACGGTCTGTAGAAGAAAATTACATTTTGAATAAATTGCCATGCAGGATGCTGTTCAAGGAATCATTGCATACTTGAAAACGTCTTAAAAGAACACAAGAACCTGGTTGAAAATGCACATTATTGTATCTCAAAGGGATAGAGTCAGCAGGATAATCTACAAGTAACAGTTAGTTCTAATCCTGCTAATCTATATCCTTAACTGGAGCTGCAGAAAAATGAATCATCTACCACCTACTTTCAAAGCATATACTCTGCAACATAAACCACTGGAATAATAATAATAATAATAATAATAATAATAATAATAATAATAATAATAATAGTAGTAGTAGTAGTAGTAGTAGTAGTAGTAGTAGTAGTAGTAGTAGTAGTAGTAAAGTTAGAAGGGACCTTGGAGGGGGAGACTTCCGGTGGCAGGCGATTTCGCTGGTCGCAGCTGTTTGCTGCCTCCCGCCTGTTTTGCGTAAAAGCCGGTTTGACAGCTAGCATCTGCTGTCAAACGGCTTGATACCTTTCCCCTGGGCATAAGGGGATCGGTGAGCTGCCCGGGGTAGGAGTTGAGTTCCCGAGTCGTCCTATATGGACGATGTAGGTGAG